GAATATATTCTGGCCATGTTTGGAAGACAAAAGGTGTTGCATATCATGCCAAAAGTGAAGTTTGGAGATGGGAACGTCATGGTGTGGGGCTGTTTTTTAGCATACAGCATGGGCAGCTTTGTGTCACTGAAGGAAGTATGAATGGGGAAAATGCACTGAGATAAAAACCTGCTGCCATCTGCCAGGATGAAGATGAAATGAGGGTGTCCAGCAAGACAATGATCCCAAAGACAGTCAAGGAAACTCAACTGGTTTCAGAGAAAGAAAATAAAGCTGCTAGGATGTCCCAGCCAGTCACCTGATGTGAATCCCCTTGAAAATCTATGGAAATGGTGCTATGGTGCTGTTTTTGTGCTTTCTATTGCCTTGTCTGTTATATGTCATATGTAGCACCGGGGTCTCAGAGGAATGTTGCCTCGTTTCACTCTGCACTGTACGACTGTCCGTGGTTAAAATGACAATAAAAGCGACTTGACTTAAAAGAACTAAAGCTCAGAGTTCATAGAAGGGGCCTAAAGAACCTTCTGGAAGAATGGACCAAAATCACGTGCGAAGTATTCAATACATTTAAGCAAGCGTGTTCAATACTTTTTCCCTGTCATTTCTCAGTATGGATTGGATGAGTTGTTATCGATAACTGGTGAGAATTTCATGTCAGTAGCACCTTCAGAAATATATTTAGTTTTAATTGGCGACGTATTCAACTCTTATTTTACCCGCTGTATGTGAAGCACCATCTGTGTACAATCAGTAATAAGGCATGACTTTCTTCATTTCACTGTTTTTGGAGGCCTTGTTGGTTTGTAGAACTTTTAGATATGCAGACAAGCCTGAAAACACAGGCTCGTTAGGCTTGGGGTGGCTGTGGCTCAGGTGGTTGAGCAGATCAGCTACTGCCTGGAAGGATTGGTGGTTCGATCCTTCCCCAGTCTACATGCCAAGTATCCTTGGGCAAGATACTAACCCCAAGTTGCTCTCCGATGCATCCGTCGGAGTGTGAATGTGTGCGAATGCTTAGATTGCACCTAAGTAAAGAAGGAAGTGCTTGTATGAGTGGGGGTGAATGAGGCATGTTGTATACAGCGCTTTGAGTACTCTGGGAGAGTAGAAAAGCGCTGTATAAGAATCCATCCATTTACAACTAGATGTTTTGTTTTTTCCACCGACAAATTTTACTTTTATCTAGTGACAGCAGGTTCCAACATGACTTGAAATTCTTTTGACAGTTACACTTCTGTGTATAACTTTGGAAATTACTGCAACCTGTAACCATTTAACACAACTGCCATGATTTTTGAAGAACCTACGAGCCAGAAGACACAGAAGAGATACAAATGCATGTCTAACTTTAAAAATACTGACGGCCACAAGTGTTACCTCTCAGCTTGCAAGTTGATGCACATACTGTATAAAATTCAAAATCCAAGGTGATTTTCAGAAAAACTGACCTCTGACCTTGAATTTAAGGTCACTGAGATGACCTTTTTTCAAGATTTTTAGTAGATCCACCTACTGTATGAATTTGAAAATCCTGTCACCTCATTCTCACATTCACAAACATGGGTGCCCATGCCACCTGCCCACTGTGGGGACAGTAGCCCATTAGCCTTTAACAGCTGAGGGGTAAAAAGCGACCGTCAATGACAATCATTGAGAATTAAGAATTTCCCACTATTGTAAATATTTTTCCCAGTGGATGATTGCACCTCTTCATTTACTTCTTTTCTCTCAAAGACTGAACCAGGTGGCTGGGGAGATGAAGATGACCTGAACTGGGAGGATAACGCCTGGTGATTACGTTTGATCCATTACTTCCATCTGCAGTAAAAGACTTGACCACTGGAAAACTGAAACCCATGCACCACATCTGGAGTGCCACTTCACCAACAGACCAGTAAACTGGAAGTTTAACATGATGCAGTAGGGATGGTAATGACAGGAATGGGTTAAGGCTTTTTATGTTATGTTGATTTTATCACTTTTAATTATGAGAACTCTCTTTTAAACTGGAACGATCAGCTCTTCATCAGATGGTGCTAGACTTGGACAAAATAAGCCATTTATAATTTGCCAATCAGAGGTGAATGTAATCCTGTTTCATCTGCTCTGCTCTTTTCTTTATGGGTTATTTTCACCAGTGGCATAAAGAAACGTTTCGGAGACACTGGGTCTTCCCAAAAAGAGTCAGTTTGATTAACTGAAGGCTTGCACTTTGAATGAATGTGAAATCAGAATTGCATAATTTATTAGTAGCTTTTGGGTTGATGGTGAAATAAAGTAAAACTTACTGTATCAAATGTGTTTACTGTTTTGTTTTACAGTACAATATTTCCTACAGCGACCCAGCCAGGAAAGACTATCGACGCTATAGCTAAAAGAAATGAAATGCTTCAAGTTTCAGAAACGGGTTTAATAAAAAAAAAGAACAAAGATTAACATTTTTTTTAAAAAGAGAGAGAAACCATTTTCAATAGCAGCAAAAGTTGTGGGGACTTTGTGGGTTTTCCATACAGAAAGCAAACACCCTGAGATGAAAAACTATCTCGAGCTGCTGGGTCTGACTGTAGTGATGTGGGTTAGGAGAGTCTGGAGCTCCTGTAGTCTGGAGTCCAGCCACTGTGGAGGTGGTGCACTACTGTTAGTTTTACCATCAGTGAGAGCCTGAAGGGCTTTTAAAGCACTCTCAGCTGTCTGGATATAGCGGCTGTATTCCTGCTCTGCGCTGTTCTCCTGTCGAGCTCTCTTAGGGCATGGCTGAGAGGGATGAATAGTTAAAGAAAAAAATACAGGTCTTGTTAATTAAACTGTTATTTATATGACATGATTGATGTTCTATAGTACTTCATAGGACACAGTTTGAACCTGGAGAGCAAAATCTTGTGATAAAAATATCAAAAACACAAATCTTACCCACTGCCATATTTATGAATATCTGACAAAGCTGACTTCCAATCAAACAGTCACATTGAAGTTGGATGCGTTCACTCAAATCTTTTACTGCTAAACAAAGTATTTGGTTTTTTTATGCTTAGCAAAATAAAACTGATTCTGATCATCTCTGACATCCAATAAAATATGAGAATCCAGGCTGCTTTTGTGCAATGTGCACCGTCTCCTTATGCTCTGGTAGCTTTAATTTAATATAAGCCTGCTACTACTAATATGAAACGTGTATGTGAGACAAGACTGTACATGAACATGCATATTCAGAAACACTGAATACATTTCAAGTTGATTAAACTAACCTCTGAGTCTGGAACAACTTCAGAAGCTGGTTTGTTGAAAGGCTTTTCTTTGCTACACTCCAGCTTCTCATTGTGTTGCTTGATGTGTTGCGTCTCATGTTTGAGCCTCTCGAGCCGTAACTCATTGCTTTCCTGCGCATTCACCGTCTGCAGCAAACGAAATGACGACTTCACCATGCTTCGTTTTTATATACATGTTCATGAACAAATAATAGATTTCCCTTACCTTGCTAAGATAATTAACCACTTTGGTTTTGGTTTCTTCGACACTCAAACTCTGAGAGATTACTTCTTCGTGGTTTGTATTCTTTGACGTCAGAAGGATATATCAAGGTTACGTTTAAGCTTCAACAGTGTATGAATTTAATGTAATATGAAAATTATGTTAGACTTATAAATGAATACCTCTGCAAATTGAGAAAAGGCCTCCAGGGTGTGCTGCTGCAACAGCCAAGACTCGTCAGCCAAAAGGACTCCAAACAGGCCACTCAGCCTCGGAAGAATTTGACTCTGGAACCAAAACGGGTCATAACTGAGAAAATGCTTAATTTGTTTGTATTATTTTTATTTTAAGAAAATAAAAATGGTTATTATCATTTGCTTCTTATCACGAACTTTCCTTTATACAACAAAATGTGTGTATCTATCTATCTATCTATCTATCTATCTATCTATCTATATATATAGATCTCTCTCTCTCTCAATAGATAGATAGACCAAAATTAAAATCATCATTTCTAAAATGTCTTTTATCACCTGGCTGTCAGGAGGGACAAAAATCTTCCCCAGAGAGCAGAGAAACTCCAAAGCAGCCAGCAGTAACCAATCTGCACACTTCTGAGAAACCACAGCATCCAGACACACCAGAGCCTGTGATAACACACACACACACACAGAGACACACACATCAATAAATTTATTCTGCCCTCTTTAAATGTTAACGTGACGACCAACAACACACCTGACAAATCACGTGAGGTTCAATGTGCTTCACTAAAATAGCCGACAGTGACAAGAGAAGCTGCAGCGTCCACTGGAGCGCAGGGTGGGTCTGCAACTACAGCATGGCAGGTTACAGTTTACTGCTCTCGCATCTTCTCATTTACTCCACCTGTTTGTGCGTGTACCGTTTGTTACCTGGTCTGGACTCATTCGTAACCAGAGCTGTGTGACCATCCTCACAGAAGACGACACGCACTGCTCTTCGGGAGAGGACTGGCCTCGAACCGCCGATAGGAGAGACATCAGCACTGCATTCTGGTAACAGGAGGAACTTTCTTTCATTCACGAAAGATTCTGTTTTCATGGACTGATCAGTAATAAAAACAACCATTAACCATTCTGTGTTAGTAATCTCAGCTGCGTAACTATTACTCACTGGAAGCTCTGAGTTCATAGGCCAACAATGGAAAGGTCACTAACAGTCTATTGCAGGAAAAAGGTTATCACAGTCCAAACATCATTTATTGCTGATAATCAAGCTGCCGTCGTCACGGCACAAGTACAAACGATGCTGCAGCCTTAATGTTTGTACATCAAATAACTGCCTTTGTTGCATATAAGGCTATAATAATAAGGATGAATGAGTACAAGTTTATTATTGACTTTTGTTTCGTCCTTTGCACAAACAACAAAAGGCCTTCACTTGATAAAACCATGCTAAAAAGATTCAGCGATGAGGTGCACGACTCCCATTACATCCAACTGCTGAGGTTGTCCTCACCACTTTGCCGACTTGTCCCAGTTTGTATCCTCCATTCTGCCAGTCAGCCAGCACTTTTTCAGTTAAACCAGTGATTTCTGTCACTACTTGCCGGCAGATGTCCTGAGAAAGAGCTCTGAGGAGAACGTGGTGCCAAACTCGAAGGTTTTCCATCTCAGAGGGTGGAAAATGTGACACCAGCTCCATCTGTGAAAATAAATACATAAGATTATGGGAGAAGACATTATTTATTAAGATTATTTTTTTATTCATTGAAGTTGTTTCTATTGATTTCTTAAGCATCATCTAAACCCAGAAAATGGCACTCTACTCCAAATTATATGGAAGGTACAAGGATTCACTGAGCTTATGTTAACAGGGACTACATCTTAATTCGACTGAATGTGGGACTTCAATTACAAACTCATATGTGAGAATGTTGCTCATCACTCCGGTAAAGTTTCAGAAGTGTAGCAGAAGTGTGTGGCATCAGTGCTGCTCAGCTGTCCAGCATTTTACATGTTTGTCTTTGCCTCTAATTGTTGTAGGCCCCGATAAGAAAAAACTTTTCAACCATTTTAATGTTTAAATATGAATCCATGCATTTCATTATTTGT